ATAAAGAGAAGTCTAAGTCTAAATCTATGTGCATTTGCATTTGTCACCAGCAGGGGGCAGAAGAACCTCTGTACTGAACTTAAGCCGGTCACGTGTCATTATAGTCCTTGTGATGTATCAACAGGTTGGGGGAAGCATGTCTGGCTGCATCCAGTCTGCAGTAAAAAAAAAAATGAAGAAGAAGAATAAGAGCATGAAGAGGTTAGCTCATTGTTAGCACCCCCGGGTGGCCCTGTAGCTGGGAGAGCAGGAGGAAGGTGTTTCCCATGTCTTCCAGCCAATAGAGACTCTCCTTCAAAACTAACAGGTTGTTTTGTTCAGCAAGCAGTGGAGACTAACTAGGATATTGGCACTGCAGTCTGTCTTTGTGAGAGAACATAATAACTGGTACCCATATAACTTGTTTTGTTGGTACAAGTGGTTTTATAACTGGATGCATGTGCTTTCAACACTGTTAATCCACTTTAGCGTCATCTAAAAGTCTCTAAGTCTTTAAGTCTTGTTTGGTGAATCATGTTTGCTGGATTTTGGTGTGGCTTAAACCTAAACACAGAGTCCTGCGGAGCTGAAGCCCATCCCCCTCGAAACCCAAACATTCACTCCTTCCAGGACCCATCCAGCCCCAAAACTTTGTGTTTTTGAGTAGAACACCCCTCTTTCTTGTACAGGACCCCCTCGGTGACCCTCTTCCCTCCCTCCCTGCCTCTCTCTCTGTGCTTCTATCTGGGAGCAGTGAGAGCACCATTGCTCAAGCTCCTATTGAAAAGAGAGCATATACAATGGGGTCTTTCTCAGTCCCTCTCTGTCTCCATTAAAGACCCTGGGAACACAACACTGTCCAGAGAGCCACTCTTAAAGGGCCAGTGGGACCCAGGTCTTCGCAACCTGAGTCCCAGCTCCTCCCATCATTTTCATGGGAAAAGAAAAAAAAAACAGGAATCTATGCAGCAAATCAATTATTCATGAATGGTATGTGAACTCTGCAGGGCCTTCTCCCAGGCAGCGAGCGGCAGCATCACCTCTGTCCAAACACACACACACACACACACACAGTCACCTCTGTCCAAACACACACACACACACAGTCACCTCAGACATCATCACAGTCTACAACAGCACAACAACCCCGCACTACTGCTCCCTGCGTCTGATGAGAATCAGCGGGACAGCAGCATTTATTTAGACTACAGCTGATCATGCTTCAGTCTGTTTTGGCTGAAATAGTATGTTCAAACAAATTCCCAGACATTACGGTGACATAATCCTGGTTATGCTGGGTAGCAATAAATACAAACAGAATAGTCTGAATAGTATTACTATTACTTTATTGTCATACATTTGGTCTCTTCCCCTTTTCCCAGGCTCCAGCAACAGGCTCCTGTTGCATGGCATTGTAAATAAGACATTAATGTGCCCGGTTACATAAAGGTTGAAACATTTTAAACTGTTAGCAGCAAGTTAATAATATTAAAAATGCAAATTGCTTATTGCCCAATGATGAAATTAATTGGAAGTATAAGTTCTGTAAAGTTTTTTAAGCAAGTCATTGAGCAAATTGAAGTTAGGCGTTATTTTATTAATTTAATCCTCTTAAATTAATCTTTTCACAACAACTAGCATATACAAAGAAATCATCTAGATTGTTAATGTGGCAGTGTGTTTTGACCCTAAATTTTATTTTAAATCTGTAAAAACACTAAGGAAAATCATGAAAATAACCTTTATTTTTAACTATCAATACATCATTAAACAATAAACAGTTTCCAATGTGCAGATACAATTAAACCAGGGCACAATTTGTAGATATCCATATAAAAGCAGGACAAGTTTAGGTAAAGCAAAGTAAGTTAATACTCTGCAACAGACAACGATGAAAGGTGTTTAAATCACTGTGTCTCATTTATTCATAAGTAAACAGACTGATTTATACTCTGCCCAGACAAAATGTCCTCTATCATGTTGCTGATCCACACATGGGCAGCGCACAGCTCTGTTTGCCACAGACTGACACATATACTTTGTTTCAAGCGGGAAACGGGTGATTTACTGGGTTATTTACAACTTCTGGGGATCCGTGTGTAATTAAAAAGCGAATGGGGGATTGTGTTGAGACAATCAGCATGCCGCAGGGTTTCTCACATCCTCTGAGAAAAGGAGGGAGACTCAGGAGGAGGAGGAGGAGGAGGGTGGAAAGAACTTGAGTTGAGGAATTTGAATCCTGTTTGAAGGGGGAGAGGGAAAAGAAAGAGCCAGGGGAATGTCTGAGGGAGTCTGAGGGAGCCGATGGGCAGGAGAGAGACTTTGGACGACAGACTGCAGGAAACACTGGTTTAAAAATACTCCCTCGGTTGCTAGAAATAGCCTCGGCTTTGTACAACTTTATCAGCGGCCGAAGGTTTCGGTGCGCCTTTTTGCTGTGCACTTTTTCTAAAAAGTTTGGTGGCGAGCGCTCCGCACTGGGATCAACCAAAACAACAGAGTAAGGGGGAAAAGCAAGAAGACTTTCGAGCAGCGCGGATATATATGTTTTTTTATAGTCTGTCTGTTCAGGAAAAGGGAACTGAAACGACGGGGTCCGGTTTTCTGTGGATAATCACATTTTCTGCCGGCGTCAAAGCAAAACTTTTTTTCAGCGCACAACTTTGGATCTTTGCGCTGCTGAGATGCGGTGATGGAGTCCCTTGATGTTTCCAAGATGACTGCTGTCCTTATGAAGCACATTTTCAGAGGTGATCTCCTTTCAAGAAAAAACATGAGCGACTCTAAATGGTCGTTTTTGATCCTCACCTTCATTTTTGCTGCTTGGAGGCCAGTGACCGCCGGCACTCTCACAGGTAAGCTTTAATTTCCACCGAGCAGCAGCAGCTTTTCATCCAATGTGACTGTTGTTTGTCAACTTCAGTGCGAGGAAAAACATTGTAACGAGCAATTAGCCCAGTCAGCCTTCTGCTCCCAGCTCATTAAATCAATTTGCTGTGGGGTGGCGAGTGCAACCACAGCTGCAAGTGCGTTCAACATCTGGCCAACATGATGGAAATCACTACACTCATAAAAAAGCCTTTTAAAACAAGGTGATTAAAGAAAACAAATTACAGATACTTGTGTTTGTTTAATCAGGCTGAGGATTTTAAGTGGCTTGTGTTCTGCTGATACATAATTATTCAGGGACAGCAGCCTAAAGGTGGTGGAGGAGTTTGTTGTGGAGAGCCGTTTTCCTTGGTCTCCATGTTTTTGAGATCAGGTGCCTCATGAACCCTTCTTATCCCGAGAACTCCCCCAAACCACCAGGTATCCAGACCAAGATTCCTGCCGGTCATGGCATTTTCAGAATACTATGAAATGTTGAGAGATGCATTCCTGGCAGGGAAAGGGCAGAGGCTTAAAATAACTCCTGCTGGGAAGTGAGGGAATCATAACAAACTCACTTAAAGACCATATAGCACAGCAGCATGGAGAGAAGTCTGCTGTTTTGCTCTATAGAATGGTGGAAACCAGACTGTTGACTCCTTTAGAAACATGCCTACATATACCAGGTCATTTTACATCAGCACATAAGTTTGTAAACACTGCCAACCATCATTCAGAAGTCATTATCTGTTCTAACAATCAGTTTTTCTGTTAAGTTTGGAATCCACCAGCTACTGCAACCAGTGGATGAAAACATGGGGTCCCTACAGGGGCCTCCACCTGTCAGCTCATGTGTTTTGACCATTATGGTCACGCTGTCTCTCTGGGGGCTCTACTTCTTCCCTCAGCAGATGTATGACCAGGATGGACAGAGATTACTAGGCACTGCTTTGATTTATAAGCTCAGACTGTTGGTTTTAAAGAGAATCTTTCCTGATGTCTCAGTTCCTATTTGGATGTTGGAGTGAGGAATGAGGAGGGGATCAGGGGGGCGAAAGCTTTGGTTTGTGAGTCAGAGCCAGTCTGATCAAGCAGTGAAATGATGGATGGGGTAAAGGGGGCAAGAGTGGAGGAGAAAGAGTTGGGAGGGGAGGTGGCAAAATGTGTAGCGATGAATCCAAAGAATGGCATGAAAAGGAGGCTAAATGGGAAAAGGGCAAAGGCGCGGCAGTGAATGGAGGGGCTGAATTACGTAGCGTTAAAAAGCCAGAAAGATAAAGGAGGGAGTGAGAGGAGGATAAATGCTCGGACTGTGTCGAGTATTTTTGGTATGTGCATGTCCACTGACATTTAACATCTGAGCTTTTTCTACGAGAGAGAGAGTAGGAGTAGACTGGGTGGATCATGAAAAAAAAAGTGTGGGACCTCGAGGGAATTCAGGGGACAAAAGGGAGGAGATGGAGTAGTTAAGCACAAATGAATCACTGGAGACAGGCCACACACACACACACCCTTAGTTTGGCCATGGCCTGCTCTTTCTGTCTACCTCTGCATTCTAATAAAAGGTTTACAAGCTTATTATTATATGAATGCAGCACTAAGAGACAGAGAAAGAAAGTAGGGCTGTTTTTGTTCAATACGGCACTGAAAAAAACAAAACAAAGTCAGGGCCATGCAGATTCTTGAAAGTGCTCAGCCAAGCTTAAAAATAAAGGGAGGAATGACTTTTAACGCCAAAAAGCACACAGAGACAGAGAGGCGGTGAAGCAGAGACTCAGCGGGCCCCTTCATTTATTGCACACTGCCCGAACAAGCTTTTTGAATGCTGAGTTGTGTACGTGTGTGTGTGCATGTGTGTGTGGATTACATACACATTTAAAGAACCGAGGGCATGTTCTACTCATAAGTAAAATGAGTGCCGCTGCCAAAGTGTGCTATTTACATTGCAGGTCTGTTTTCAGCAGCTGAATTATTTGTGTTTATGTGTGTTTGCGTGAGATGGGTTGCAGTGGAGTCCTGTGGGGTCACAGTGAAAGGGTCAGAGGTTGAAGGGTAGGCCATGAAACAGACTAGGAGGGCGGGTTGACAAGCTTGAGAAAATCTTTACAGGCATCACTCAGTGGAACAAATGTGATTTATTTTCATCCTGAAAGTCAAGTTTGCACATTCTCATGTTATTTTATCTTTTATCTATTTTAACAAGACAAGGATTAGTTAATGCCTACCCTTGGTCTGCTCTATGGATGCTTAGCATTTTTATTTGATGGTGTAGAGGAAAGAAAAGGATTCCTGTAGGAGGGATCTATCTATCACTGCCAAATTTGTATTTAAACAGAGGTCAAAGCTGTGGCTATTCTTTTATCTTTGAAACAGCATGTAAGCCCTGCCCTTAACATTATCAGGAATTCCTCTCATTTCTGTCGAATGTCTTCAAAGTAAGAAAAAACAGAACCGCATAATTTTTATAGATGTTGAACAGATTCATAGACATCTTGGAAGACGACCTGCAGGCTTGTCATTGGTGTGTGAGAGAGACCCTGGAGGTTTTTAGTGTGTAGTGTGTTGAGCTCTCTCTGCTCTGACACTGTCCGAGTAGAAGGAGCAGCTATCCTCTGACAAGAAGGCTTTGTCCCAGTATCAGCTCTGTCCTTCTCAGGTCAGCCCTTCTGTCAGTGAGGGACACAAGATAACTGGACTCATTTCAAAAACAAACCAGTGTGGTAGTGGATAAACTCTAGGTTCACCTGCTGTTATTATATCTCAGCGAGGGCTACATCAAGCCTGTCAAGCATGAATGAACGATTATCAGAATGAGCACACAAGTTAATGCTAGAGATCAAGATCAGATGATGAATTGATGAGTCAACAATCAATGAAGTGTTTAAGCTAATCTTTAAACCACAAATGTCTGCGTGCAGTCTCTCAGATGTCAAGATTTGCTGCTTTACTGTGTTTTGTGACATAATATATAAATGGAATGTCTTCGGGTTTTGGAAAATTTGACCTTTTGTCAACAATTTGTGACCTTGAGCTTTGCAGTTTTCTTTATAAAGACATGATTATCAGTGATTTAAAAAAAACTATACATTTATTAAACACTAATGAGTTAGTTAGTAATTAATCATAATAATTAGTAATATATAAAATAATAACCCTAGTTTTATTTAAGGTGTTTTCAAGTGGAGTTCTTTTGAATAAAATGTGTTTTTTTTTTTTGTTTTTTTAAGAACGAAGAAGAAGAAGAAAGTCTTTTTATTTTCTTAATTATGGACATGATGAAATCATTTTTGAAAAGGGCTTCATCCATGGGGTTTGTCACCTGCTGGAAGCATAACTTCTGATCTAGCAGCATATTATCTTTAAAAAGGAAAACAGTAGGAAAGCTTGCTGTCTTTGGTTTCTTTGCTTCATAAAATGTTACCATGTTGTATGTGTACTGTATATAAGGTTTATTTTAAGGACTGACATAAAAACTAACCTCTAAACCTGCTTCTTCCCTCTCTTCACCAAAGATTTGGAGTTTGAGAAGAGTCCCATTACGGTCATCTCTTCACTGGGCAAACCTGTTACAATGCAATGCACCCTGAAGGGGGCAGGGGGTGAAGAACAGGACCCCCCTGATGTACTCTGGCTGAGAGATGGCATTCCACTTCAGTACGCAGACACCAACCAGTTCCAAGTCCACACTGGCAGCAACAGTTGGACGGTCATTAGCACGCTCAGGTAGGCAGCGTTTTCTTCTTTTGTCATGTCATTGCATTAGATTTAATGATGTTGTGAGGCAGCCACACCTGGCCTAAAAATGTCAGTCATCTGCTCTGATTGTATTTATTTCCTGTTCCTCCACCTTATCCTTTCACCTAGCTTAACCAGTACTGTTGCTGGATTACTTCAGCATGTATACTTCCAGCCACTGTTGAGCACATTGAAATTAAGTCCGAAAGAAATAATATTATCCAAGCAAAACCCCTTATGTGCCTTTCCTACTGTAGCTTAATGTATTTAATCCCAGTATGATTGGATGGCATAATTTAGAAGGAAAGTAATCAGGGTCTGTACATCTTTCTGCCTCTATCCCCTTGTTTATCTGTTTGGGTTGTCATTGTTTGATCTTCATGAAACCTATCAAATTTATAATGTTTTATGCATGTCACAGCATTGAGAAGGTCCAGCTTCCCGACATGGGCTCCTATCAATGTGCTGTTGTCCTATCAGAAAGCAACACAACTTATTCTGAGAGAGGGAGCATTCAGTTGGAGGGTGAGTTCATCTTCAGCTCCCTCGTGTACACAAAGACAGCCACAAAAATAAGCAAGTTTTCCGCAGAGAGTTTTATTTGGATTGTTAATTCTTTCTCAGGTCTTCCTCATTTCTCTGTGGAGCCCCATCACATGTCTGTAGTGGCCAACGTATCCCTGAGCTTGCACTGTGTGGCCCACGGACCTCCAGAGCCAGTCAGGGTCATCTGGCTGCAGGACGGCGCTCCCCTCAACTCCCTGTCAGACCCGGTGGCCCTGTCACCCTCCACACTCAACCTCACAGGTATCATCTTTCACTCTCTGTTGCCTCAGCAGTCAGGGCCACATGTACACAGCTTAGTCAGACCCATTAAAACATCAAAACAATCAACTCCTCAAGGGCTCTCACATTGTACTGATACAGGGAAAGGTTTAGTAAATGTTTAATCTATAAAATGTATAAAAACAAAATGCCCATCACATCATCTTGGCAGAGGCAACGTCATGCATTCAAAAGTTTAAAACACAAACATTTAGTTTATGACTAGATTAAATAGATCAAACTAAAAAATTAGCAAATTCTCACATTTGAAAAGCTGGAACCAGAAACTGTTTGGCATTTCTGCTTTATAAAAGAGTTAAACAATTCAATTATCAGTTATCAAAATGATTGATGATTTATGTCGGATGGATTAACCGACTACTTATTTCAGCATGTTAGTAAAGTAAGATGTCAGCAGATGGCAGCCCCAAGTAGCAAAGTTTTTAAATTGCGAGAAACAAGAACATTTCAAAATCACTGGTTTTAATTTAATCTATTTAGACTGATTATAATGTACTGCTTCAAAAGCTACACAGCAACTATCTTCTATAATTTCAAAGGCTTCCAGATCCCCCCTCCACGGCCCCAACAAACCACCAAATAACCAGCCTCCCCAGAGAGAGAGGCCTGGCTGGCACAGTGCCAGTGGAGCCATTGAGGATGTGCCTTGTGGTTGTGGTGGTTGATGGGTAAAGGCAGAGCAGCAGGCACAAGAGGGACTATTGGAGGGAGAAAAAAAATCATGGGCAGAGGACATAGGGAGATAAAAGAAAGAAGGAGAGTAACAGATCTGTTGCTGCTTGAATGCAAACCACAGCTGCCTACCAGATAGCTGGCCTGTGTTAAGTCCAGTAGTAGGAGGACAGGCCGAGCAAGCTGAGTCAGATGGAAGGAGGGAGAAGAAGGCGGCAGCGGTCTGTTTAAGGATCTGGTTTGACTCATGGCTGGCTGGTGCTGACCAGGACCCGTTTGACGGTAACCGACACTCATATCTCTGGAATGGGCAGCTGCTCTGGTAGACCACAGGTCTAAACCAAGGCAAACACAATAAGTTTTTTAATAGGCCAATAATGAGAAATGACATGGAAGTACATTCCAGCCATTATGGAATCATGGACAACACATGTTAACTTAAGGTTCAAGGTAGTTTCCATCTACATCTGAGCTCTTTTTATGCCTAGTCCACCAGTTTTAGGGTAGAAAGCTATTCAACTGGATAATGCAATTTAAATGAAGTACTAATATAGTTTATATTCCTCGATAGCCAATGACTAAAGTTTGCAACCAACAGATATCAGCAGAGACTTGCTATCTTCCCTGGTGACATTCTGCCAGACATCTTCTTGCTTGTTTCCTGAACTTTTTGCCTTTAGTGATCTTCAGTAATTGAAGCCAGTCAAGAGCATTCAAGGACTGAAATAATACTTTTGGCTGTATGTTTAGGATCACTGTCCCACTGTATTGAGTTAATATTGGGGGGTACCGTATAAAAAGAGCTACAGGTCTTATACTGTTCACCAAATACTGGTGAGAAAGTTGGGAGATGAAAGTCAGCATTTTAATTGTCACTGTTTTATTTCAAGTCGAATAAGTGCCTAAATGTTTACGTCATTCATCGAACAAAACGGGCACTGGTTTCAGCTTCTCAAATCTGATATTGTTGAATGTAAAACTAACGATTTGAAGACATCATTGATATATTTCACTTTTTTGTAACATTTAAATAGTCTAAATCTTTAATGAATCAAACAAGGATTATATTAATCAATAATGAAAATAATGTTGAGCCTCTGTTGCCACCTTAAATCCAATATGCCGAAGTACCAAAACCAAACTATGAAAAACACAGTATGTCACAGTCTTAATACTTTCTGACTGCACTGTACTTGTCAGTCAAGAAGAGGAAGCAGCAGGACTACACTCTGTCATTCCCAGCTGATAGTAACACTGTTGGTCAATAATGTGATGCTCATGAGCTCAGGAGTTCTTCCTAGTGACTGATTATGACATTTTGAGCTGGTCAGGGGATGTTGTGTTGCAGTTTAGGGAAGGAAAGAGACAGAGGGGCGAGTGGCACAACTTCAAGATGGCCTGATGAGCAGTTCATTCACCCACACAGCCAGTGGTCATCCCTCACCCCTCCCTCCATCCTTTTCCTCTCTCACAATCCCTCGCTTCACCCAGCGAGGATCGTACCCCCTGTTCTTTTTCCGGCCACAACACAATGGAGGCATGGTGCCGTCGGCGCAGAGCTACACACTGTGTGATTCTGTTTGTGGCTGATTGACAATGTTAGGGTGTTAGATAACAGGGATAAAACTTGAATGTCACATGTGTCAGTCTGTATGTGTGTGTGTCTGTGTGTGTAAGCCTGTGTTGTGTTGTGGAATGATTTGAGTGTGTGAGCAGGCTGTGAGTCACTTTCTGAGAGGACTCATTCTCTGTTGAATGTCAGTGTGAGTCACAGTCTTTGCCCCCTTCAGAGGAGCCCCAGCCTCTTGAAGGCAGCAGCTCAGCCTTTTACACCTGGAACTCAACGCGGCCGCTCTCTTTGTTCTCAAAAGTACTTTGCAAAAAAAAAAATTCAACATGCAGTCTGTGCAGGCTGTAGGTTAGAGATTCTTAAGTTGACAAGTGAGTCTAGGGTGGTGGATGTACATACTTGCATTTATAGATGTGATGTTTATAGATTTATAGATGTCAGGTTACAAATGTTTCAACAGTATTTCAGTGAATTTCTTTAAGAAGCACAAAATTTCACTTTTTCAAGATTTATGTTACACCAGTATCAAGACAATGTGTATGGATTTAAAATTGAAAAGCATGTTCGTTAAAAATGTGCTAAAAATATTAGTTTTGTCTAATCCATGTAATCCATCCATGTTTGCGCCCAGTTCTAACATTAAAAAGGGATTTATATTGGGCTGAAGAGGCGTATTATAATCAAAAGTGAATGTTTTAAAACTGAGCGTGAGAAATCAGACACACTGGCACCGGTTTTAATGAAATGTGGTGGAAAGATGCTTGGCACAAATTGGTGCATTATTCCTGCCAGACTTTTTTATTTATTTTATAAAAAATAAGAGTCTGTGCTACAGCGCTCCTACCGTAACGACTAAAGTGTACTTTCACATCAACAAATACAGACTAACCCTAAGACTAATCATAAAAGTGTCGACAGAGAGATCACGCTACCTTATGGAAACTATTACTCTGACACTGTTCTCACTTAAGTTTGAACTTTCACACTGTTTCTCACATTGACATTATGCGCAACTCAGCATGCTGAGCAAGGAGTCTTGGTTTCAAAAGCCCCGCTTCACACGTGCCTGTTGGGTTCCTTTTTCGTTCCAGGTTTGAACAGGACCAGCACCTTTTCTTGTGAGGCCCATAACCGCAAAGGCGTGGCCACCTCTGGATCTGGTACCATCACTGGTAGGTGTCACTGTGGAAGGACTAAGACTTCAGCCCCCTTCATTCAGTGTGTAATTCTTTTGTTGTTATAGCTTTATTTATTGTGTCTTTCTTTCTTTAGTTCTCCCATCCCAGCCTCAGAATTTGAAAGCTTTGGAGATCACTCAGACCAGTCTCCGTTTATCATGGCTTCCCGGTTTTGGAGGCGACTACCCGATCATCCGTTGCTCTGTTCAGGTGAGACAACATGAGATTAAAGTGAGAGAAGAATACCACAACTAGCTGAGAAAACTAGCCTGTAAAAAAATCACTGCAACTGTTTGACCTGCATGTTAAACAAATACATCACTCTCCCTCTATTTGCTGGATTCCACCTTACTGTTTGCAAGCCTAATTTTAAAGAAAAAAGAGAGCTTGGTTTTCTTCTCTTAACTCATCCTCTACCCCTCCCTGCTTTATTCACGTACCCGTGGATCAGGTTTCACTCTGGGAAAGTGGCCTCCTGTAATAATCTTATGTAGCGCCACTCCCTCTCTCTCTTTCTGTCAGTGTCTCTCTGTCACTATCCTGCTCTGTGGCCATTACAGCTCATAGCTTGAGCGGAGGAACATTTTCTCCTGGAGAAGGGAGCAGTGCAGCACCACCCATAAACGTCTGGTTCTAATAAAGCTGCCCCTCATACCTCTTGCTGTTCTTACCCCCGCCCCTCCCCACAGCCTTCCTTCACCCCCTCACCCTCACAGGGGAACAAGGCGAGGGGCCGGCTTCAGCAGAATGGGGCAAAAATCTGAATTTAACGGTTCATTGTGTGGCCAGGAAAAACATGAAAAAGGCTGCAGTGTAGAGAGAAGAAAGATATTACTGTTCTCCACAAAGGAAGAATAAGAAAGAAAGAAAGAAAGAAAGACAAAAAGAAAGAAAGAAAGAAAGAAAGAAAGAAAGAACAAAAGAAA